TATCAGTGTTTGCCAGATACAACTGACACCGTGGATATGTCAAGTACATATCATAACACTATCAGTGCTTGCCAGATACGACTGACCCCGTGGATATGTCAACTACATATCAAGTGGACCAGTGAGTGGTGGTTTCATGTCACCTTAAGGGGAACAATTTTAAGTGCCTCGTCATGGACACCACTTGATGGTCAATTTAATCTCAAGTTGACCACACCAAACTGTAGTACCTGTGCAAAACAAAATGCTTCGCATTCCATCATTACTATATATACCGGGCGACTTCCAAATACCGGCAGACTTGGTCTCAGCACCCTAAGGTACAGGCGAGTATCTAGAGGGAGGAAGGAAGAACGGCACACTTCCTTTGACTTGTACATATGCCATTGTGATTAAAACTACGTAATCCTCAAAACGCCTTCTTGTGTTGTGTTACAATGTTCACGACCAATATGTGTTTTCAGACATGTCATGGGTATTGTGTGTGTTTTAACATGAAGTGCCTTGACAGTGGTATTGGCACTGGTATGGTGTGGGTAAAGGGCCATAATATACAACTTCTCATTTTCAAAACTTATCATGTTATGTCATTTTGATTTTGGTGGTGCTTAATTAATTTCCAGGTGTACAGTTAAAGTATTGCAATTTGAAATAATACCACACTGTCAGACGTTAATTACGCATTGAGAATATTTTGTAGTTTTAAATAAGGTGACTTGACATATATAATACATAATGAAGGGTATTTCCCCAGATTTTGTTTCCAAGATGAACATTCTACATCAAAGTTATTGTCATGAAGGGCGCAAAGAAATTTTAGCAAAGTATACGAACAGTAATCAATGTCAGTCACCCGACTGTGATTTCGGTGTTTATGTAGGTTCTCTTAGTGGATACCCTTGAAGATCCGGGGTAGAATAGGTCTTCAGCAACCCATGCAACCCGTAAGGCCAGGTTCACACAGTGCCGATTATGGCTCACGTTTGAGTTCAGACAGCGCTACGACACGAAAAGTGAAAAAGTCGGATTACTATCCTCAATGACCTGGAATGTCCTATCATTATCTGAACGCAGTCCTATACGTTTGTAACAGAGTCCTACGGATCGGGAAAGGTCCAGGGAGGTGCGTCCCGTAACATGCGGGAACTCAGCCGATTTTGTCTAATCGGATTACAATCGTGACGATGTCGTGACAGATTCTGCTGTATCGGATCACAATCGTAACAATGTTCTGTGTTGTCTGGACGGTGTCCTGTGGATCAGGACGCTGTTGTGTTGAACGGGCATGAATTGTTCATTGCGGTTTCTTGTCGATTGAGTCCAGATTGCGTCCAGATCTTGCCGAATGTGAACCGTCTTTGTCGGTTCACTGTCCGGTCACTGTCTGATCTCTGTCGGATCGCATTCGGGAGAATCGGGACGCTGTCCGGACAGATTCGGTTGTTTTTTTACCATGCGGAAGATACAAATTGGATCAGATTCGGATTAAGAACGGGAGAATCAGGACAAATTGGGCTTGAAACGGCTGAATCGGCACACTTCCTGAACAATATCTGATTGTTTGTCAATTTTCCGCCACGAAGCACAGAATCTTGATCAGACTTTTGACAAATATTAATCAGGAATGGTCCCATCATGGACGGCAGTAAAAATCCTGAATTGTGACCGAGTCGTAAAAGGCGACTATGCTTGGCGCACGAGGCGACTAACGGAATTGGGTGGTCAGATTCGCTGACTTGGTTGATGCATGTCATTGTATCCCAGTTGCGTAGATCGATGCTCATGATGTCAATCACTGGATTGTGTGATCCAAAGTCGATTATTTACAGACCGCCGTCATAAAGGTGGAATATTGCTGAGTGCGGCTTTAAACAACAAATATTTTTTTGTCTCATCAGAGTCAGATGAGTCAGGTGGTGTAATGGGTTGTGTTGAAATGCTGTGTTGTGGTAAGATTGTCGGGATGGCAGGATGTCGACTGAGTGGGTTGGTTGGTTGGTTTGTTGTTTAACGCCGCACTCAGCTATATGACGGCGGTCTGTAAATAATCGAGTATGGAACAGACAATCCAGTGATTGATATCATGAGCATCGATCAACGCAATTGGGATCGATGACATGTATCAACCAAGTCAGCGAGCCTGACCACCCGATCCCGTTAGTCGCCTTTTACGACAGGTATAGTCACCTTTTACGGCAAGCATGGGTTGCTTCACGGGTCAGACTGAGTGGGAGTTAAAAGATACTGAACTGTTTGTGAGGCTTGTCTATGAGGACTGCCAGGCAGGGAGGATGTCGATTGATAGGGTGTTGATTGATTCTGAGCAGGATGTGCGGCTTGTCTATGAGATTTAAGTCTGTTGGCATGAATGAAGGATTTCTATCCTTTAATTGTGCTAGTTTTCAGTAGTTTGTATATATGGTTTAGGGCAAAGGCAGGATCAATCATTGGAACCTGATCTCCAACAGTAAAGGAAGGCACATTGACCCTGACATCTTGCAGATTCTTGCTTTTGTCCTGACATGTTGTCCTTTGCGAGAGATTGTGCCACATTCAGAGTTTTCAAGTGCACTTGAAGATGACCCTGTGCATCTTTGCCGATGGTAGATTTTGGCAGCAAAGTACCATCAATTGGGAGATTCATTTCCTTTCCAAACAGAAGGTTGTCGGGTGAGACTGACAAGGTGCAGTGTGCATGGACAGCATAACACAAAGAATGAGTTTGGCCAAATTGATTTGGTCAGGGGCAGCATATGTTCGAAGAGCCTGTCCTATCATACTGTTCCCCTTTCACACATCCCGTTAGTTTGGTGAGGTAGGGCGAAGTGCAGTAGTGCCTGAAATTGAGTTTACAGTGAGCATTTACCCGCATGGAAGTGAACTGCCTACCTCTGTCAGTAAGAAGTGTACGGGGAGCTCGTTCGAAGACCCTGGTTCGATTACTGACATGGGTACAATGTGCGAAGGCCATTTCTGGTGTCCCCCACAGTGATATTGCTGGAATATTGCTAAAAGCGGCGTAAAACCATACTCGTTCCGTCAGTCAGAAGGAATCAACTGCCAAAACATATTTATAACCTTGACATAACATAACCTTGACCTTGACATAATTCTCAATATCCTTACATAAGTTTGGCTAGTAATACTTAGGGAATAATTTTGACGTGTGGCATCTCGTCCAAACTTAGCGGCTGCCGACTTTGGAATCACAGAGAAACTTTTTGTGACCTTTATGCTTTGCATGATAGAAATGGTAAAGAATGACACCCCCCTTTACTTGAACATCTGTAATAGTGGAAGGAGCTTCACCTTTTTCAATGTAGTCAAGGTCTGGGGATTTACGTTGCTTTTCTGCCAAGTTTTGATCATCAAGATCAATTCCTATAGTAAAAACTAGAGGGAGGTGGACATGATTTGTAGACAAAGTACTAGTATACAGATACAGAGGATGAATTCTCATCTCTAGAAGTGTCTTCATATCAGACATTATGTGAATCAAGTGCAGAATTGTTAGTGGTTGAGTGTGATGTCTTGTGGGGGCAATGGTTATGGTTTGTATTCTTTGAAAAAGTGTCTTGAGGAGATGAGCATGATTTGGCCGGAGAGGAAGACATTGGCTGGAAGGAGGGAGGAGGCATAAATCATTGCCCCTTTTGCTTTGTGTGGTCATTGTTGTTGGGGGATGTTGTAGCAGTGGTGGCAGGCACGTTTGTCTTCTGGCGTGAGACTTGGGCATGGTATGTTGGTTTGGGAGTTAGGGCTGTCGAGTTTGTAGACCTCATATTATCTGCTTTTGAATGGGTATATTGGCGAGTGGAGACAGTCAAGGTTGTACGCCTCTTGTTGCCTGAGTTGTAATAGTCTTTATGGCGTGAATGGCAATTGAGGGTGTAGACCTCACATTGCCTGCCGTGGAATTGGCATAATGGAGAATAGTCATGGGCGTAGACCGTATGTGCCATGGTGATGGAGTAACAGTTTTGGGTTGCTTGAATGTGAAGTCGGAGTGGGTAAGAGTGGAGATGAAGCAGTAGCAGCTACATGTGCATATGTGCGTGTTGATGGGATAGGTTTCATTGAAATGGGTGGGGAGGGTATTTCAGCAATGTTGGCTTAGTGTATCTGCTCAGCATGGGTACAATGTGTGAAGCCCATTTCTGGTGGTCCCCGACGTGATATGGCTGGAATGTTACTGAAGGCGGCGTAAAACTATATTCACCCATTCACTCATTCCTCCGTAGCATAATTATCCATGCAACCCTTCACTAAACCCGCTTGTGTTCACCTTGTCATTACAGTTTAACCACAATGCGAGTCTTCTATCAATTATATATGTAAATGTTCATTAAAGGTGTGTGATTTACGTCAAGAATTGTCCCATCTATTGGGAGGCCCTTGTTTGTGGATAGGAATTATAACGCCATTTCCCCTTCCATGTAAATATATAACCTCTTCTCTCTAACGTGATGTAAATATAAGTTTAAACCCCTCAATAGCTAATTAGTATTTTGTAAGCTTATTTGAAAATACTCAGGTATGAGAGAGGTATGATGTAATTAGTTACCTCTCTTCTTTTGAGTACATGAGGTAGTGTACATGCTTCTAGGGGTATTGTCGTCTTCAAGGGACATAACACTTTATTAATTCCTTTTTGTTCAAGAGTTTTATATCAATCTCTTTGAGAGGCAAACTACGTTCTATTTGTTTAAACCCTGCCAAGTGCGTGTTTCCTATCGACTGCGTCTCGGCGTCAGGGACCGGCGTAAGCGACCTGCAGGAGGGCGTGGTATTTTGGTCTCTTTTTTAAGAAATATTATATTTTAGCTCTGATATGTATACCGTTTCCTGTGACATGAGATATAATAGGACATGCAATCTTGTTAAGTTTATCGCTGACAGCCTTGGTGCCATGGCAAGAAATAGAAGACAAGTTAGTGAACAAATAGTTTGTACTGTGTGAACACCTGATATCGGATACATGTCCGTCGCCTTGGCATACTTAAACGCTTGCCTGTGAGGTCAGTGCGTCGAACTAGGGCAGACAAGACTAATCATACTAAAACAAACCAACGATGAATACGCTTTGTCGGACATCAAGTGGCTAAGCAGCAATCCAACCTTCGTCACAACAGTTCACGTCAAGAGCCGACTAGGCGTCACGTGTACGATCAGCGCGTTCAATCAGAACTGCACACAGTCTGCACTGTGCCTGTGTTCAGAAAGTAATATAGCGGAAAGCAGGCCCGGGAGTTGAATACAGGTCAGTCCTCTGTCCCATATGTTTTATCAAGCTAAGGAATACTGCTACTTCCATTCACCAAGTGCCTTCATCATATCACATTGCAAGTCTTGTAAGCTGTGAGTTGTTTCATATAAAGCCCATCCTTTGATCATTAACTCACCTATGTAACTATCTCCTGGGACTACAGTGTTGATCTGACTGAGGTTTAGACAACCCTGATCATCTACATAAGCGAAGACAAGTATATTGAGGCAGGAAAGGAGGAGGCTTGGAATTCTTAAAGGTGAAGGGAGTTATATATTTTCAATTCCTCACAGCAGTGGGGTGGGGGTTATTGACTCTCCTCTGCTCTGAGCTATGGAAACTGTCCCATGATCTGTGCAGCCAACTGGTGTAGTGTATTTCAAGTTGTGGTGTACAGCTTCGTATAGGGAGATCTGGTTACCATGCTGATTACTCCACTGACACATATTACTTGCTGTGCTCAAGATTGCCTGGATTGCGACGTTGTTGCGAATATCAGTTGTCCTAGATACATGTATTCTTCCCCACCCTTAAGGCGGGGAAGTATACGGGAAACGTTAATTTTGTAGCATGTATGTCGACATGTTGGTTTATTTGAAATTTCAAGCCACGCATTTACGGAAACAAAAAAAAACAAATCATGTACGTGGAATGTTGATGCTATTCTTTTCCAGCAAAAAGAGATACTTCAAAATCGTCTTTATGTAGTTAATTGATGCATCTGACAGTTTCTGGTCATTAGGTGACATTATTAAACCATTAATGTGTAATCCGATATCCTTTTTTCCTCAAGGACTAATTTTCTGATTTTCACGGTGTATACAAAAGAAGAACTGTGTTCCGGAGATCGTAAATAACAGCATAATAAAAATTATGTTCTGAATATGCTTATTCATGAACAACGACGACATCTCAATTTAAATGTAATAAGGCTGAATTCCACATTCTACATACCACACTTTTGATTGTTTGGATGCTCATGTTCACTGGAAATATGTGGAATAGTTATATTCCCTACTTTGAATTAACCCAGTCCCCCGTGTTTTTTAATCAGTGCACCGCACATAGCCACATGTGAAACGTTTGGTAGCAAAGTCAAAGCAAAATCGGAGTAGTGTGTCGGCGAATTTGCATCAAGGCTGTAGTATTTTTCAATCGTTTAATGGAATTCAATGTACAGCCGTAGCTCTGGTCACTCATATATTTTGTGTCCCATGGCTCAAATCTATTTGCGTCTGTACCGTGTTCCACTGACCTCGATAATCTGTTGGATGAAGGCACAGCTCTCTACAGTCACATAGTTAACACCGAAGGCTATGAGGGGTATTTAGGTCATAATCAGTTCCCAGCAGCCATTCCCCCAAACGATATTGTCTACATAACAGATCAGTTTTATGGCTCCGTCACAGGTGCTCCAAATATTGAAGCCGGGAAAACAAATTTGATAGAATCATTTCAAAAAGCAATATTGATATCTTTTAATGATGTCTCCATTGCAATTTTTACGGATTTTGATACGTATGCATTATTTGACTCTCATCAGCGGAATGGTTTGGGTCAGATTTATCCAAATGGACAAGCGGTTTTACTTCTGTTTAGTAGTATGAATGAATTGTTATGTTACATCTTAACAGTATATCAGGCGACTATGCTTGTCGTAAGAGGCGACAAACGGGATCGGATGGCCAGGCTTTGGTTGATGCATGGCATTGATCCCAATTGCGTGGATCGATGCTCATGATATTAATCACTGGATTGTCTGGTCCAGACTCGATTATTTACAGAACGCCGTCATATAGCTGGGATATTGTGAGTGCGGCGTTAAACGACAAACCAATCAATCATCATCATATGAACTCAAACCAGTCATTGTTACAAGTAAACCACATTCCACAACAGTTACTGACACTGGATAAAAAAACAGTACATAGAAAAAAAACAAGTAACTCAACTCATCATGATCACAATAACCATTCTTTGAAAGAAAGAAATACAAAAAAGAAACTGACCAAAAAACGTAAAACAAGAGATGAGGAATCTCCGTTATTGATTAGTCCCGGTATTGAAATGTTCTCCAACTACGTGATAATATTTTGAGTTGTGACAAATAGACCTTATCTAGTATGACTTTTTTGCCATATGGAGCCCTTAGTATTTTCATTTACATTATTATAACCAAATGCCAAGTGTAAAAAGAATGTGATCTATTATTTGAGCATGTGCATCTGCCAATGTTGTTGGCAGTTTTGATACTATTTCCACATATTTACATTTGTGCCAGAAATTGCTTCCGTTTCCTTCGATCTACTTTTTAAATAAAGACCCAGGTTAGAATAGGTCTTCAGCAACCTATGCTTGCCGTAAGAGGCGACGAACATGATTGGGTAGTCAGGCTCGCCGATTTGGTCGATGCATAACATCATATTCCAATTGCGTAGTTCGATGCTCTTGGTGTCAACCACTGGATGATCTGGTCCAGACTGGATTATTTACAGACCGCCGTCATGTGGCTGGAATACTGCTGAATGCGGCGTTAAACAAGAAACTATTTTTAAATAGACCTACCCTATGCAAATGTATCAACTGTACTGCCCAATACTCAAAATAAATTGTAAAACTTTCCACAACAGCGTTGTGTTATTTGTGGTTAATATAATTATGCTTCATCATGCCTTTCAGTAACATCATAATTATGCGTTTGTGAGGCATCAAATATGGCGGGAAACTTTGATGCTCTGCATCAATGTTTTCTTGGTCAATTTCGCAGAGAGAAAAATGGTCCATGCACACGAAGTCGGACACGGGTAAGTTGATCCCTCTGATCGACTTCGTGAGATTCGGGCAAATAAAGGCTTAGCGGTACAATAGACCATGTCGCATGTTGTTGTAAGCCGTTACCTTGTGGCATTTCTGATTTGTATTTACCATTTTATATATCATTATCAATTCACAGTCATGCTCACAAATACATAGATATATATGCGGTTGACTTTATGGGATACATATAATCTATCACTAAATACACCACACTTAATTTTCTAAATCTAGATGTATGGCACGTGAAGCTGATCTTGCGAAAAATGCAATTTCCAATTTTCCAGCAGCAAGGTCCTTAATCTTCAAACGTGGATCCAGATTCACCTGCAGATACTGTATCTGACGTTGTAACGCATCTAACGGTCTCCGGAGGCCTAAACCATGCGTTATATCATCTGAAAGAGCAGCGTATATTATCTAAACTTTTTCGAACAAATCCGTCTTCCGCAACATAGATCCCCTTTTGATCCCAATTGTGGATATATTGTCATCATGTTTCTTGGTGCCATAAATGTGAATGAATGTTGGAAGAGTGAAAACATTCTGACATGAGCTTTTGTGTTTCCTCTTCCAAGCTTAAGTTGGAAACTTGTAATTCAGGATTGATTTTTAAATGTTTTGGCTTCTCATCTTCCAGGACAAGATTAGGAAAAATGGAATACGGAAAGGATATTAACTTTGGAAGAATTCCATCTTTTATAATTGTTCAACGCATTGTTTAATCATGGCAGTGCTACCACATCTTAAACAAACTACGATTATACATAAAATTCCGCCTAATATTTGTCATTTTTTCAGGAACATATATCTTATATCACGGAAGTTTCTAGACTGCTGCAATTCAAGATGGCTACCAAAACGGTGCTGGCCCAAATAAAACGAACTCTTTGTGAAGGACATGCGCGATATTTGTGCAGATCCCTCTCAGCTCGTGCTCAACATATGCGTTGCATCAGCAGTAACGTTGTCAAACGACATCATCGTTGCATTTCCACGACGTTGACCACTACTATTGGCAAGGAGCCACACATCGTAACAAGCCCTCATCCTCCAGTGGACATTCCGGATCTACCTTTCGCTGAGTTTGTGATGTCAAAGTAC